GCACCCCAGACCCGGAAACGCGACGCATCACCAACCTTCCCCGTCCACAGCAATGTGGGCGAGGTCTCCGGCAAGGAGACACAGGGCCAAAGGTTGAGCTGATGCACGGCGTACCTGACTGCAAACGGCCACAGAAAATGGGTGGCAGCCGCATGGATCATGGAGGTACGAGCGACCTCCATGACTAAGCCAATGCGGCGCACAGCAACCCCATTCTGCTGCGGAGAGGCCGGAAGCGTGAAATTCTGGCGGATGCGTGAAAGTCTGGCCGGAAGCGTGAAAGTCTGGCCGGAAGCGTGAAAGTCTGCCGGAAGCTTGTAAGGGATCAAAACATCAGGGACATCCCCCTTGCGCTGCAAGGGGAAGACCGTGGTGTAGGGCATGTAGTCGTCGACAACCAGCAGGAAGTACCGCTCGTGGCCCTGTCCACGGATGCAGGCTGGGCCCCTCACGTCCAGGTGGAGAGTCTGCAGTGGAGCCTCTGTGGGAGGGAATGAGGAGGAGTGAGGAGCGGCGCGCTGCCGCCCCTCGACGCAAGGAATGCAGGGCGGCGCAGGCGAGGGAGGGAGGGCAGGCAGAGACCTGGGAAGACCAAAAACCAGAAAGCGAGAGTGCATGCTACGAAGGCGAGGCAGGGAGGGGTGTCCCAGGCGGTGGTGCCACAGGAGGGTGTTGTCAGATAGCCGGCGACACACACTGGGTAGCTACCTGAGCAGACGCGTGCAGCTGGGGAGACAAAGGGGTGAAGCGGGACTCAGTGGTGAGGGTGTACGGACTGGACCCTGGCGCACGGGTGAACGTGGCCAGGTGGCGGTCGGTCTGGGAGCACGTGCAGATCGCCACAGGCTGTCGGCCAGGGGTGAAGGTGTCAACACCCGCATCCTGGAGGACAGCGTTGCTCACCAAGTTCGTAGAGAACGAGGGGAGGTGGAGACCAGACAGCTCACCAGACGAGACAGCCGGACACGGAAGCACAGTGGAAGACCGTGCAAGCACTGGGCCCCCAGAGGGGTCAGCCAGTGAGACAGGAACAGGCGCAGAAAGGGGAGTGACTGTGGTACTGTTGCGAAAGAAACAACGGGAAGCACCAGAGTCAAGTGTAAAGGTGTGCAAGGCCTGTGCAGGTGCAGTACCAAGGGGAGTAGACTCACAAGCACCTAGTGCAGCAGGGGCTATACCAGGATCCGGCGGCACACACAAGTAGCACTCACCCTCAGCATTAACAGATAATGCATACATAGCAGCTAGAATAGCCTCATAGTCAAGATCAAAGATTGGTACATCACGCCTAAGCAAGTCTGCCCAGTTGGGGAACTCAGTAGCATCAGGAAACTTGGCGCGCCAGGCGTCGCTAAGTCGAGCAAAGTAGCGCTGCTCAGTGTGAAACCCTGTGCACTAGCGATTAGCGCGGGGACTTGTGCGGATGATATAGGGGCAGCGACCAGGACCCCCAGAAGCCCCACACCCGGCATACCAGTCAAGAAGCTGCCAGGAAGTGGGGGTCTGGCGCTGATGCTGCTGCTGCTGCTGCGGCTGCTGCTGGCCCTGACCACCACTGCCACCACCGCTCCCTCCTCCCCTACCGCCGCTGCTGCCCCCTCCACCGCCCCCAGTGCCTCCGCCGCCCCCACCACCACCTCCACCCCCTCCACCCCCACAACCACCCCCACCACCTCCACCGCCCCCGCCGCCTGCACCACCGCCACCTCCACCGTCGCCCCCACCTACCCTGCCACCCTTGCCGCCCCTGCCGTTGCGACGCTTCCCACTCGGGGCGGAAGCAGCCCCGACCTCCTCAGCACCAAGGTAGTCGTGAGCAGCAGCTGCGGAGGCGTAGGAGGGGGTGAGAGGGGAGGGGGAGCACCCCTCAAAGAGGGGAGAGCGAGGAGTGCCACGAGCAGCACCTACAGCGAGGATGATCTTCTCTGCTGCAAGGAGGTGCTTCTCAAAGTCGTTGACAGTGAGAGTGGGGGGGTCTAGCACTAGGAAGTGGTCCGTGACCGAGCTAAAATTGTCAGGGAGGCGCGTAACGAGGAAATAGAGAGTGAAGTACATCGGGGGGGGGGGGGGGGAGGCTGCGGCGCAGAACTCGGCTGAGAGGGCGGCACGAAAGCGAGTGTCAGTAGCGCGAAGGTGAGAAATGAGGTCCTCAGCAATGGTGAATGAGGAAAGGTCGGGGAATAGGTAGGGTAGCATGAGTCGACCTATGGCTGCAGTGGCCGGGGAGGAGTAGCGCGTAACTACAGCGTCGTACAGCTTCTTAACGGTTTTGTGCTAGCTGAAATGCGCGCACTCAGTGATCGGCAGATGGTTCCTAATAGCTAGGCGTGCAGCAGAATCGCGAGTCTGCCACTGCGAGCGTTCGAGAGCAGGAGCATCAGCAGCAGGAGCAACAGCAGTGCCAGACACGTAATCGAACAATGAAACGCCCTCTTTGGCATCGGTCAGAAGGAACAGTTGCAGGTCGTCTAGCCACACAGTGAACTCTATGGGGCGACCGTCAGGCTCGAACGCGAGAACATTAGGCGTCGTCATAACAGCAGTAGGTAAAGGCAGCAGAAAGCAGGCAGGCAGTAGACAAGAGGCAGTATGCAGTAGACAGCAGGCTAAGACAGAGGCAGTAGACAGTAGAGGCAACGTGTAGGGCAGTAGCTTGCTGCACCCGAGCTTGTAAGGTGGGGCTCTAGACAGTGGCAGGCCGTACAGATCGAAGGCAGTGGGTTCGGCAGCAGTGAGCCTCACACGCAAGTACACAAGTAGGGCGCGCGCGGCTGATGGCTGCGTGCGGCTAAGGGGCCGCGCGTGGCTCTCTGCTGCGCGTGGCTACGTGCTGCGCCCGGCTCCTGGCTACGTCCTGCGCACAAGCGCGGGCGGCGGGCTCTACGTCGCGCGCGGGCGCCGGGCTCTGCTGAGGCTGCGCGCGGGCGGCGTAAGGGGCGCGCGGGCTCTACGTGGGCTACGCGTGCGACGCGGACCGGCGCGCGGCTCTGCTGCAGTGGCGCGCGCTAAAAATCAGAGACTCGCGCGCTAGAAACCGAGGCGCGGGCGAGAAAAATAAGTGACGCGCGCTGCCGTCGAGGCGCGCCCGAGCAGCAGGCAAGGCAGGTAGGTAGGTGGGCCCGATTCGTAGGTCCTAGAGACCTCCTGCTCTAGTTACCTACCATGTTTAGAACCTAAGGCAAGGATGATGAATTAGGTGAAGGCTAGGGTACAAGACTAGGGTATCGAGAAAGTTTGTGTACCCCCTAGTGCTAACCCCCATGCAGCCTAGATAACCCAAACAAGCATATATATACAATTTGACAAGTCGTACACTTGTAGAATCTATAATTGGGATGGACGAGAATGATGTAATTACTGTAACTGTAATGAAGCATGTTACCCGCAACTGCAATGAACCACATTGCCTTTGCAAGAACAGAAAGCAAGCTTTCTCAATTTCAATTTTCAACATTTTTGGTACAGCTATGGGAAATTCCCAACTCTTCTTTCTCCATTTTCGAGCCGAAGCATTATTGACTTATATGACAAATCAGTAGTGGAACTTTAACTCACCTTTTTCATACTATTTGTGGTGGATTAAAAACGTTGTGGCCCTCCCTAGTTTTAACCAACAGGATGCCAGGGTCTAGAGTTTAGGGATATGGCCCCTTCATTAGGATTTGAGGTTTTGGGAAATGGCCCCTTCATTGGTAATGGCACACAGGTTTCGCCCACATACCAAAGCATTCAGGCTATGGGCATCGCATGATGTTACTGATGTCATTGGCTCTGTCCAATCATAACTTGTGTGGGAGAGGAATAAGTGTGAAGAACAAAGTGAGGGTAGCGAAAGGAGAGGTGCACAGGGCGCTGGAGCTAAGAGTCAGGTGCCGCAGGAAGTAAGTGACACATTAAGGATGGGGAAGGGCGTAAGAGATATGGAGACACTCGAGAAGCGGAGGATGCGGTGCGAACGAGGAAGCACTAAGGAGAAGCGAACAACTAGAGGAGGATTGAGGGGGAGGTGTGGGTAAGTGGGCAACGGGAGGTATGAAATTGAAGGAAGAACGAACAAAAGAAAGAGGGGGAGCTGGTGTTGGGAGGGATGAAAGAGGAAAAAGAGAGGCGACGGAGGACGGAGGGAACAGAGAAGATGAGGGATGGAGGTAAATGGAGGGGAGAGTGTGCGGGGAAAGAACACAGTACTGAGGAGTAGCAGGACAAGGGAGGACGGGAGGAAAGCGTACAGAGGAAGTGCAAGAGACTAAGGACACCGACTGGGGTGGACAGATAATAGGCAGCAAGAGGGAGGAGGATAATGGTTGGGGGGAACAAAGCAGGAAGGTGGGGAAAATGGGGAAAGAAGAGGAAAGACATGGATAGAGATAGGATGGAATGAGGCGATCAAGAGGAATGTTGAGAAAGAGGGGCAGGGACTAGATGGGCCTGGAGAAGGCAGAAGAAAACGTCAACCATCACGGGAGATAAGGTAAAGGTTGGTTTCAGTACGGGAGAAGATTAGAATTGCTGAGTGTATAAACTTCTTTCAGCTAGAATGTACATGTACCACACGTGAATAACGTACACATAGAGATTGTAAGCAACTATAACGTCAAGCTGCCAGTGCTGCTTGACCCAGCTACATACCTTCTCAAACATTTAGGCAGGAGAAAAACATCCTCAGACCTTGCTTGGTGCTATAGCCAAAAACGCTTCGATGAAAAGCAGTTAATGAGAACATCAGCAGCATCGGCATCCGTAAGAAGCAGGAAGCTGAGCATGTATGAAGGCAACTAGATGGCCTCGATGTGATCGACGTTAGGAGTGCGCCTATTGGTAGGAGCTTCAGCGAAGTCACTCCCCTTCAGCTCTGCCGACGTCTTGTCAATTGCTCGGTTCAGCTCGGCAAGCTTTTCATTCATTTTCCTCCGCTTTTCCTGAAACGCGAGCCATGCGACAAAATGAGCTACATCGACTTACGGGAGAAAACGCGATATCGAAGTGAGAGTTCAACCTACCTCGAGGCTATCACTCTCGCTTATCCACTTCGGAAGTTTCGGCGCGGAACCCTCCTCGTTTATCCCCAGAATGGCCTTCGAGATCTACCGGGGATGGATGGGGTTTCAGGTAACATACTTTTACACACGACGTTCCACATCCACGAGATAATCTGTTGCAGAATCACCAAATGACTAACCTGAGGTGCGAAAAGGTAGCCGAGGGCGCCGAATACAACACCACCTAGAATGAAGCCAGGAAAGAACCCACCACCGCTCTCTCTCCTGCAATGGTTGAAGATATTCGCAATAAGCCAGAGGCAGGAAAAAACACACACTTAACAACCCGAAAGAAAGCAGCCATGCCGCTAAAATGAAATAGCGGCCGGACAAGAAGACACGGCATGTCACCTGTAATCAGAATCTGCCACAACAAGTGTCCGTGTTGCTTTCCGTCTGCTGTTGACAGCCCTGGAAACCACCAGTTTCGGTGACAATGTCAAGGACTTGGTTCCAGCAAGGCCTTGGAAGCTAGGGACTCCTGAAACGGTACCACGTGGAAAGGTGAAAATCAAGCGACGACGCAAGTCGGCACCGCGAACGTATAAATCGCACCGTTCTTACCTAGCGAGCTCTTGGGTGCAAGAAGGACGGCAGTGCTACTGGCACTAAACATTTGAGTGGATGCCATGGCTGAAGGAGCGGAAGATCTAGAGCTGGCGATGCGAGGGGCAGTACAGTGAGTGATGCCACGGGAAATATAATGAAGCCTGGTTACTAGGTTTCTGATTGACAGGACGAGCCAGGGAGCAGGAGCTGAATTGCTGAGAGAGTAATGCGGAGATGGATCAGATGTTTGATCTGGAAATCCCAGGTGTTCGGCGGTTGCGACCCTGGCGACTTCGGCGAAGTCGAATGTGTCAACCAATCTGCCAATGACGCGAGCGGTGTTCCACTTAGTAACGCTCTTCGCTAAGCAACTCTGGAGGCTCAATTTCGAGAAAGGTGAGTCTTGTGACGTGTCGACGTCCGAGAAAGCCCATCACTCTCGCAGACGTGGCTGTGCATTGCTGTCACCAGATATCTGATCACTGTGGCTGGTAACCACGATGCTATTGGCGGACGATTTTGTAGGCCCTTGCGACACCTCATTGGCGAACAGATTTCCTTCTTGCCGCGCTGTAACGTCCGCGAACCCAGCACCCGCTTGGGAATGGCTCGCTAGGGCGTCGGGGATTCCGTGGTCCCATCTCTTCGTCTTGGCTCGTAGGGCCATCTCGATTCTCGACAAGCTATTGGCTGTATCGTGCTGACAAATTGTTCCATGATGACTCAGCCCAGCTGAATCTCTCGAGAATGCCGCCGAGTCGCTTACCTCCAACACCCAGCTTCTCGAACCTCGATGTTAGCGAGACAACGTATAACAGCTTTCTCTTTACTTTCAACCTGACCTTACCTCCCGTTCACCTCCTAAGGCGTATCAGGCTGATCTAAGCTCAGCAGTAGCCACGCAGGGCATCGATCTTCCGATCAAAGCTGCTTCTAGGGCCGCCGCGTTCTGTTATCCAGGCAGCCTGTCGCGCCATAAGCCACGCAGAACCCTAGCGCGTTACGTCGTCCACCAATGGCGTGCCTAGCTGCTAGCTCCCAAGTCGCCTTCAGAGGCGTGGCTCTCAGCAATTCGCAGGTCAGCATATCTTCATCCACGCAATAGAGCCCACGCCCCGTGCTCTTCCGTTTCTCAGGCTGTTTCAAAGGTCGCAACTTCAGACGCTGTGTAAGCCATGAGAATTCTCGAACCACGCTCTTATTACTCAGGCTGTTTCCCAGGTCGCAGATTCAGTCTTAACGGCGGTATCATGGTGAATGCAGGCGGTCAGCAGCACGAGTGTGGGTAAAAATGCCGCCAGACGATCGGTGGTTCGCTGCAAGGTGGCCTCGCCTGGAGTCGAGAAGGCCGATGCGTCCGCGTCCGCCGGCGAGTACACGCCGACAAGCGACGCGTCCACAATGAACCTCATGTCCGGCGCCATCAACGCGCTCTTCGGCTTCCAGGTAGATTGGACATATTTCGTAGATCTTGAAAACGAGAAATGAATTTTCAATCGAAGTAGAAACAACTCGAAGGCGTCCTGAATGAACTTCATGATCCCGGGCATGCAGCAACATGATCCCGGGCATGCAGCAACATTAGACAATTGAAATCCTTAATGTACGCATGTTGCGAAGGTCGGATTGAGTGTTTTCTTCTCTCACTCCTTGGCCCCCCTCCGATTCCGTTCCCGTGTCGGCATCGCAGCCTTTTTTCAGGTTTGCAGCGGGAAAGGCGCGCGAGATGATGGTCAAACGAGGGGATGCCATCGGTTTCCCATGGGCGCCGCGTCTCGCGGAGCTCAAGCGGCACGACTGGGACGAGGAGCTGCGATTGGTCGCCGCCACGAGCCGCGTCCCCAGGGACGCCAGCGGGGAGTACGTCTACCCGGAGTACTACACGAAACCGTTCCACGCGTACGAAAAGGGTAACCTTTCGCTGGACGCGGCGCTGGAGGTGGAGCTGGCAGCGAAGGCTGTGCACGCCCCGGTCTTCGACCCCGAGGTAGGTTCCTACCTTTCTATCTTTCTTTATCCGAGGCTCCAGAACCAGTTCTGACTCCTCCAAACACGCTGAAGCGAATCCGACCAGTGCATCTTCGAGAGAAAGCGCAGGTGAAGGAGAGGTCCATGGATTTAGCGCGTTACTCAAAGCAAGTGAGAGCATAGAACACACACCACAAGAAGCTGGTCAAATTCTGGGGTCCCATCCCGTAAACACCTCTCTCCCTCTCCCCTCTGTCCCCTGTTCTTCCCCCCGCCCACCCGTTCCCGCCACCACTTCCCCCTTCCTTCCTCTCCCTTTGTTCCCTCTCCTCCATCCCTATCCCTCCCCCTCGACCCACAATAGAGCAAGACGCTGGACCCGGAGGGCGATGCGAATCTGCGGAGGGGGTACCACGCGAAGCTGGTGGAGCAGCTGCGCATCCAGCCCAAGCACATCGTCGACCTGGGCTGCGCGTCCGGCCTCAGCACCTTCGCGCTCGCCGAGGTAAGCATGCATGCCGCCATGCGCGCGTGTTTCCATGCAAGCCTCGTGTGAGCCTGCTTCCAGCCCAAGAGCGTCGTCGACCTGGACTGCGCGTTCGGCCTCAGCACCTTCGCGCTCAACGAGGTAAGCCTGGACCCAAAAATCGTCTTTCTGTAGCGCTCTTTTCAAACATCCGTCTTGTGCATTCCTTCCCGAGTCCCTCGCCACTTTGCCTTCGTGCATTCAGGGATGCTGATTCGGGCGCTCATTCCCCTGCTGCTCATGCTGTTCACTTGACTCTCCTGCACAGCGTCAACTGAAGGGCCCCTTGGCTCTCCCTTCATCTTCGTCCGGTTCTCCCTGTGCAGACCTTCCCTGAGGCCGAGTTCATCGGAGTGGACCTCTCGCCTTACTTCGTTGCTGCATCCAATTACAACGTCCGGGAGAAGAGCAAGCAAGCGGTGAGCTTTGAAACGCTTCATGTAAGGCGAGCATGGCCCTCTCTGTCCTCACTGCACGTCACAGAGACGTAGTGTGGTACGTCTCTCAGGTTAACTCGTTGATCTGTCACGCCTTGTCCTTCTGGATCCAAGTGCTGGCCCCAAATGCTAATTCTCGAATTTTCGCTCCACATCACGCACTCCTGAACTCCATTCCCAATGCTTCATTCCATAGGCGCCTCAAAAACCGAACATCTCACTCCACGATTCCCCCTACACCCTCCTAACCTGGCAGGGGCACGAGCTGCCCTCGCATACACTTTTGAGGCGCTATGGTAGCTCAACGTACTCCTTCAAACCCATCCCAACCCCTCCCAACCCGGCAGGGGCGCGAGCTGCCATTCACGTACATCCATGCAGCGGCGCAGGACACAGGCCTGCCTGCTGGCTCCGTGCCATGAACTGCCACTTACGTACTCCCTCCAAACCCATCCCAACCCCTCCCAACCGTGCAGGGGCGCGAGCTGCCATTCACGTTCATCCATGCAGCCGCGGAGGACACGGGTCTGCCTGCTGAATCCGTGGACCTGGTGTCCATCTGCCTCGTGTGCCACGAGCTGCCGCGGTCAGCCACCAAGAAGGTGAGGAGCGAGCAATGCGTGTGCGGGTTGGAGAGAGGGAGGCAGGCATGTATGCGTGTAGGTGTGGAAAAGGCACCCCAGCAGCACCAGAAGAGGGGCCTGCGGGCTGGGTGGGTGAACCTGGTGTCCCGATGCCCCATGTGCCACGAGCTGGCACGATCAGCCAACACGACACGAATGTCAGGGCGTGGGTGTGTGCACGTGTTAGAGAGAGGCGTGAGAGGTGTGAGGCTTAAGAGGGGTGTGCATGGCTGTGCTGTGAGTGGCAGAGGAGGCTGGGCTCCCTTCCATCCTCTGCCGTGGACGTGTAATCCATCCGTCTGTCTGGCTGCTGTCTGTTGAACACCATCGCTCAGCTCAGCCCCTAGGAGCGTACACGAGTGTGCTACAGGGTGGCTCCCTGGACAGTCATGGTGGGTAGTGTGTGGTTGCCACTGAATCCATTGAGGCTTGACACAGGGGAGCCGATGGCTGATAATGCACCTGCTGAGAGGCTAGAGATGTCAGGTGTTATTGGACTCCTTGTTTTTGAAACCTCGTTTTCTCAACCATCTCCGTGCACTACTCAGATTATCAACGACGCACCTCAAAGTCTGGGGGAAAGGGGTTGACTTGAGGCACCGCAAAAACCTTCTTCCTGAACCCACTGCACCATGACCCTGACCCATGACCACTGCACAGATCATAGAGGAGGCACATCGCATCTTGAGGCCAGGGGGCGCGTTTGCAGTGATGGAGATGAACCCACGGTCGCCCTTCTTCCAGAAGATCTCCAACAACCCCTTCACCTTCGCTGCGGTGTGTTGGTTGTGCTGCTGTGCTGCTCTGTGCTGTGTGCTCTGTGATGTGTGCTGTGTGCTCTGCGATGTGTGCTGTGTGCTCTGTGATGTGTGATGTGTGCTGTGTGCTCTGTGATGTGTGCTGTGTGCTCTGTGATGTGTGCTGTTTGCTCTGTGATGTGTGCTGTGTGCTCTGTGATGTGTGCTGTGTGCTCTGTGATGTGTGCTGTGTGCTCTGTGATGTGTAATGTGTGCTCTGTGATGTGTGCTGTGTGCTCTGTGATGTGTGCTGTGTGCTCTGTGCTGTGTGCTCTGTGATCTGTGCTTTGTGCCATGTGCTGTGTGCTTCCTCCAAAGGACCATCTACCTGTTCTTCTACTCTAGACTCCCGTTCCCTCCATTACCCTTCTCTCCAATTCTCTTCTCTCCACTTTTCTTCTCTCCACTTCCCTTTGTCTCTCTACTCCTTATCCTCTCCATTCTTCTTCTCACAACCCCTGTTCTCTCCACTCCTCCCGCCTCTTTCCACCATTGCATCACCTACAGTTCAAGGCAACGGAGCCATACCTGGATGACTACCGCACATTCCCCATCGAGGATGCCATTGCAGAGAGAGGCTTTGAGTACCCACAGCAGATGGAGAGCAGCCCTCGCCACCGTTGCATTGTTGCCCATAAGCTGTAGGGATCTAGTATATGGCCTGGAGTATGGAGCAATTGTGTATTGCAAAGTGTAGTAATAAAGGGGGCGAGGCTTATCCAAATTGGTATTCCTTGGGAAACAGGCGTCAGAATTGCTCACAGTGGTTTCCTTAGAGTCACAACAATCACACTGGGTCATGGCAATGCAGCAGCATTGCCAGCCCCTTCAAGACCAGTTCAAGGGAAGGATAAAAGGATGATACGGTAAGAGCTAATTGAGAAAACACCAGCCGTGTGCACGATACTCCTGCACCCCTTGCTAGCCAAGTTAGTTGCACAGGCTACAACTACAACCAGCCTTCTCATTGTCATGTTTCGTAACACAAATATACACGGTAATCAAACTTGTAACAGAAACTTTGAAACCACAAAATCCTATAGCAATGCAAATGCGTCTTCTAGGCTAGCAGCCTGGGAGCGTCAAATGCAAGGCCCAGCAGCGTCGCTTCAGATGCCTTCAACCGTTTGATACTCTCCTCCAGCCGAGCCCTTCGCTGCTGATCCCCCGCCTTGAGAGCCGCTATCTTGGAAATGTCCCCACCATGAATTTCCCTCCACACAGCAGTGTCAGTATCATCGAGGAGAGAGGTCTCAAGGCACATGCGAATCTCCATGGGGATCGCATCACACAGCCGCTTGTGCATCACCTTGGCATACGAGAACATGTTGATCTGTAGGTCCCTTGCTGCCTGATCGTCATTGCTGATCAGGTTGGTCAGCGAAGCAGTGCTGGAAGCGAAATCTTCAACAGAGGGTACAGAAGGGGGGACTTGAACTTGTGCTTGGTGGTATGCCCTGGCTTTCCTGTAATCGGCCATCTTCACATGGATTTTAGAGACCGTATCCATGTAGTAGTGGTTGAGCGTGAAATCACCTTCCGTTCCTTCTTCAGCGTGTCCTGAACAAAGCGGTTTGCAGACTCTTTGGCCTCCCTCAGAGCATTGAGCCCTTGCAGGTGAACCACGTTGTTCAACCCAGGATATATCCCGCAGGCATGAGACGCCACAGCCTGCTGCACCTCGGTTGCATACGCAAAGCAGTCATTCACCAGGAGCAAGCACAGCCCTTCGATGCTATCCACCACCTCCTGAACCAGCTGTCCTACCACAACCTGATCCAGCATGTTCGGTAGTGAAATCCCTGCCACCTCTTTCAACGCCTCTTTACACCTTTCAGTGTATTCTTTTCCAAGGAAATTCGGGAGAGCCTCGCGCATCTCAGCCTCGAACTTGTTGAACCTCTCGTGTAGCCTCGCAGCATAGAGCATCTCCTCGTCACTCTGGAACGAACCATACCTGCCGCTAATGACGCCACTCATCAGGTCACGTCGCTGCTGAATTGCAGAAGAAATCACGCCCAGAGCTGCAGCACTGGACGTGGCTGCAAGCGGGATTGTCTGCAATTCAGATTCCTTTGCAGCGAGCGCCTTCTGGATGGCTTGTCTGATCCTCGGGATGCTATCGGCCACCCTCTTGGCCTGAATCTCCGTCAGGCGTTCAGCCAAGGCGGGAATTCCAAGGGAGTGTGACTCAATCTGGCTCAACTCCGGATGGGTGTTAAAGAAAACCGCTTCCGCTCGCCTTGCATCGTCATGAGTAGCGTCCGCATCAGTCTTGTTCCGGACACACAAGTATCCAAGCCCGATCCGCACGGAATTCGACTGAATCTTCTCGTAGAGCCCATCAGGAGCGCGGTCGACCTTGGTGACGACAGCCAGGGTGCGATCGCCATCAGGGTCCACCTCTTGCGACATGACGATAGACTCGCACGTGGAGAAATCCACCTCGGCTGCCAGCACGTTCAGAATCACGCTCTCCTTCGGAGTGATGTAATTCATTATCATCGCCTTCACCTGGTTATAAATGTCCTTCGGTTGATCTTCGATAGGAACGCGTGTGATTCCCGGCAGATCTACCAGGGTTAGGTCAGGCAAATCCGGTCGTCTCACTTCCAGGGTGATCGGGCAATTCATAACGCCCTTCCGGCTGCCAGCTAAGGTTACCGTCGCTTCGGAAATCTCCTTCTCGATCATCGCTTCGTCAGGCAAAACCTTGGACACTTTACCAGAAATAGGGGTGTATTCGATCGTAATCTCATCCTGACCGTCGACGCATGATTGCAACCTCAGGATCAACGGCACTCGGGTAACGATCCCCTTGCCTCGCGGCAGGTTGATTCCGGACAAGTTTTCCAGCACGGACGACTTGCCGCTGGATTGGTCGCCGACGACGACGATCGTCGGCAGCTCGATGCCTTCTTCCTTGAGACCTAGGACTCGAAGCTTGTCGATCGCATCGAGCATCGGACGGACATTTTCGTTGAAGGAGGAAATGAGGGGAGCCATGGCAGGGAGAGAAGGGATCAGCTGAGAAGCCTTGGAGGTAGGAAGCAGAGACGCAACCAGAGAGCTTAGCATGCTTTGCAGTGTTACTTTCTTGATCCAACCTTTCTTATTGGCAGAAAATGGCCCGTCATATCCATAAATGGGCCCCTAATCCGAGTCGCGTCGCGCGCTCGCAGCGCTACTCACGTGGAGCCAACGTCACAAGCTATTCAAGGTCGCGGGACCATTCAGATCTCAAAATCACGGAGCACAAGTTTGAATCTCCCGCAACTATTGGTGGTGATGACTACATGACGATTGTCGAGAGACACTCTACGCACTAACAGTGCAACCATTGTGTAAAATGACGTGCAGAGAAGAACCCTGCGGCGCAAAACGAGAGATGTATCCTCTGCAGCCCTGTTTCCGGCATCAGATCGTGCTGAACGTCGTGTTGTGTCCTGTGCGGTTTGGCTTGCAAAGCCATGGCTCCCATCTCATTGCTACCGTCTCAGCGATTACTTCCGCCACAACCATTTGCTTCTGTCATACGGAGCATCTGCGAAAACTGCGTCCTGGTTGTGGGTGGGATGGATTGAACATATCTTCAATACAGTGCAATGCAACTGCATCAACTTCTGGAACAATCAGTTTATCAATCTAATCGCCTAGACAGAACAAGGAAAGGAAATAACAAAAAACCCATACAGATTCTGCTGGCCATAAACAGCAGAAGCCCAGTATTATAAGATGAATCACAGGGGGTCCTTGTGACTTAGGCAAGAGGAGAATAATATATATGATAACCCAATACTGTATATGTTATATAATGCCATACATAATATGTTATTCGTCAATGTCATTTTTGAATTGATCATAATTTACGGATAATGTAATAGATTTTATGTTTGAATAGATGTAATCATAATCCCTGGCGTTTGATTTGCATGCGGAAAACTAATGGTTATGTTTTTTTTTTCCAGATTTTGTTCTCTGCTTTGGAGGTTGGGTGTTTTGTTGCGTCACATTGTATCGAACCTTGGGGATCGTTCCATAGTTGCACACAGAAGTTCTCCGCAAACGCTCCTAGGTAGTGACGCAAGCCATGGCTGCTGCACAAGCGAAACGCTACAGAATGCCGAACACAGTACCGGTATGAGGGGACAGCTTCAGGTTGCCCAACTCTTAATGCTGGAACGGGTATACAAGAAAACGTACGCCATGTTTCGCGGCGCGTTGTTTCGTTTATGCACGTTAGATTCCACTGGCCACACTGCTGACAGTTGCAGCGAATTCTCTTCACCACCCTCAAGAATTCGTCACCGCGAATGGCTGCGGCAGCCTCTCTTCTGTGAGAAACCCGTGGGCTTTACATCTTGATGACTCTGTCGTGAGCAGTGCTGCGAGTACACTGACGTGACATGTGGGCGAGTAGCCGTCCTTGGCTGGTAGGATGGGCCGTCTGCTGCCGAATAAGAAGGCCTAGCTCCGAGGTACTATCATTGTGAATCGCGCTCCGCTCTCTAGTCCCTGGTCGCTATCTCAGAACCTGCTCGCCTCGCCATGGTTCCTCTCGCGTGCTCCTCTAACGAGAATGTCCATCTTATGCTCAGTGCGATTCGAGTTCTAGGTTTGAAGGAAGAAGGGATCGAGCTCCCGATGGTCGTCGTGATCGGTGATCAATCCAGCGGCAAGACTTCCGTCTTGGAGAGCCTCTCCGGCATCAGCCTGCCGCGAGGCAAGGTGTCCGTCGCTCGAGTGCCATTAATCCTGCAGCTCCAGTCATGCGCGAACGGACAGGATTTGATAAAAATTGAGTACACCCCTTCTTCTGGTAAGGTGTCTAAAGTCTTATCTGATAAGGGGATGATAGAGCAGGAAATTTCAGAGGCGATGGTGGCCTTAGCTGGGAACCAGAAAGGCGTATTAAGTTCCCCAATCACCCTGCAAGTGCAGCGACCCGGCTTGCCTGACCTAACACTCTTAAATCTCCCGGGAATCACGCGCGTTCCTGTTGAAGATCAGCCGAAGGATATATACAGTCAGGTCAAGGCGATGATCATGCACTACATCACTCCGAAAGAGAGCGTCATTCTCAATGTCCTAGCAGCCGAGGTGGATTTCTCGACGTGCGAGTCCATCGTGATGTCGCAGGAGGTGGACCCTGACGGCGATCGCACCCTCGCTGTCGTCACCAAGGTCGACCGCGCTCCTGACGGGCTCTACGAGAAGATTCAAGGAAATTCCGTGCGGATCAAGCTTGGTTATGTGTGTGTCAGGAATAAGACTGACGCGGATGCTTCTTATGAGGATGCAAGGAAGGCAGAAGCCGCCTTCTTTGATAACCATCCGGAATTGAGCCGGATTGGGTTAAGCTCCCGCGGAGTTCCGGCTCTGACTAAACACTTGATGGAGACTCAAGCCAAGAGGGTAGCCGACAAGGTCCCACAGACGAGAAAGGCCATCCAGAAAGCACTTGTTGCGAAGAGGCGTGATGTAATGAGTGGCATCATCAGCGGGAAGAATGTCATCGCCAGTGAGAAGCAAGGCCACCCTCCAAGTAATGAGACGGTGCTCTACTCTGCTAGGCTTCGCGAAATGTTCAACAAATTCGAGGCTCAGATGCGGGCTGCTCTCCCGGACTTCCTTGGTGCAGACTACACTGAAAGGTGCAAGAAAGCGTTGACAGAATTGCCCGAAATTCTTCTTCCAAACATGTTGGATCAGGCTGTGGCGAGGAAGCTGGTTCAGGAGGTGGTGGAAAGAACTGAAGCGCCGTGCCTGCAGCTGGTGAATGACTGTTTCGCCTTCGCAACCGAAGTGCAACAAGTTGTGGTGGCACATGTCACTGGGATATATCCCGGGCTGAACGACGTCGCTCAGCTTCATTCAGGCCTGCACGCTCTGAGGGAGGCCAAGGATTCTGCAATCCGCTTTGTTCGGCTCTTGTTAAGAAACGAGAAGAAGTTGGTCTTCACACTTAACCACAGCTACATGGATACGGTCTCACAAATCCAAGCACAGATTGCCGATTACAAGAAAGCTAAGCCAGATATTGCGAATGGAAGCTCCCCTCCTGTACCCTCTGTTGAAGAATTCGCTTCCAGCACTGCTTCACTCGCTAACCTGATCAGCAATGAGGACCAAGCAGCGAGGGGCCTGCAGATCAACATGTTTTCATATGCCAAGGTGATGCACAAGCGGCTGTGTGACGTGATCTCTATGGAGATTCGGGTGACCCTTGAGACTGCTTTGTTGGGTGGCACTGATGTTGCTGTGTGGCGGGGAATCCATGGTGGCGATATTGCCATGATTCTAGCTCGGATGGAGGCTGATCAGCAACGCAGGGCTCGACTGGAAGAGACGAACAGGTTGAAGGCTGCTAGCTAGCTGAGTCTGAGAGTTCATTGTTTGTGTGCCATGATATTGGAGTGCGATCTGAAGCTTGTGAACTTTCATTCCTGTGATAGATTTGGAATTTGGCGAAATGATGCTTTTGTTTTTTTTCCCTTCGTCATTATTTGGAACTCCTGTGTGAATAGTGACGTTCAGCATTGTAGTAGCTTGTGACAGGAACTTGGAATGCTAATCACGTTGCAACTAGTGTGTGGATCAGATTCTTCAGCTTGTACAGTGTGCCGATCACTTCAGTGCCCTTCATGCCCAAGTCCCCCCTGCCGGTTCTCCATGCCAGTCCCCCTAGCATGTTTCCCCCTCCCAGTTCTCCCTGTAAATTTCCTAAACGAATCTGCCTTGTCAGTTCCCATTCCCAAATCCCCCATGTCAGTTCCCCCCCCCCCCCCCCCTGCCAAACCCCCTGTCAGCTTCCCTTGCCTAATCCCCACTGCCAGTTCCACCTGCCAGTTCCCCATGCCAGTTCCCCATGCCAGTTCCCCATGCCAGTTCCCCATGCCAGTTCCCCCTGCCAGTTCCCCCTGCCATTTCCCCCTGCCAGTTCCCCATGCCAGTTCCCCATGCCAGTTCCCCATGCCAGTTCCCCATGCCAGTTCCCCCTGCCAGTTCTCCCTGCCATTTCCCCATGCCAGTTCCCCTTGCCAGTTCCCCATGCCAGTTCCCCATGCCAGTTCCCCTTGCCCGTTCCCCTTGCCCGTTCCCCATGCCAGTTCCCCATGCCAGTTCCCCCTGCCAGTTCCCCCTGCCAGTTCCCCATGCCAGTTCCCCATGCCAGTTCCCCATGCCAGTTCCCCATGCCAGTTCCCCATGCCAGTTCCCCATGCCAGTTCCCCCTGCCAGTTCCCCCTGCCATTTCCCCCTGCCAGTTCCCCATGCCAGTTCCTTATGCCAGTTCCCGATGCCAGTTCCCCATGCCAGTTCCCCCTGCCAGTTCCCCCTGCCATTTCCCCATGCCAGTTCCCCTTGCCAGTTCCCCACGCCAGTTCCCCCTGCCAGTTCCCCATGCCAGTTCCCCCTGCCAGTTCCCCTTGCCATTTCCCCCTGCCAGTTCCCCATGCCAGTTCCTTATGCCAGTTCCCCATGCCAGTTCCCCCTGCCAGTTCCCCCTGCCATTTCCCCATGCCAGTTCCACTTGCCAGTTCCCCATGCCAGTTCCCCATGCCAGTTCCCCTTGCCAGTTCCCCATGCCAGTTCCCCATGCCAGTTCCCCATGCCAGTTCCCCCTGCCAGATCCCCTTGCCAGTTCCCCCTGCCATTCCCCCATGCCAATTCTCACTGCCCACATCTCCCTGCAGTTGATTCATTTACTTCTGCTGTATTCCTGTGTTCACTACTCACTTCCTTCCCATCACAAGCTTTTTTCGTTTCGCTACTACTGTGTCACAGTCGCTCTACTCTGCCTCCTCTTAACCCCCCTTTAACCTCCCCACCCTCCGCCCCTCTTCCCACGCTCCCCCCTCCCCCAACCCCAATCTGTCTCGCCGTATGCTGGAGGTGGCTCTTCTTTTTGTGCTGGTACCACGTCCATTTGTGGGTTCGTGGATGTGAGTAAGCGTATGTGATTCGAATGGGTCTGCCATTTCCCTAAGCACTCTACCCTCCACTCCACTTGTCGATGGACACTATCCTTTCCCCCGCCAGCTTCCCCCACCTTCCTCCCCACCTCCTCTTCAACCCGA